AACCAAGATCTCCAATGGATTTTAACATTTTGCATGATTATTTGTTTGAAGATACTTATATTTATGGGCTTCTTTCCCCGTTTCATACTACAGTGTTCCAGTTCACAAAACATTTTGTATTTGTCAGGATTTTGTAAAACACGCAAGGAAAGAAATTTAAGTAGTTAAGTAGGGGCAACCCCACAACACACATGCACACATACACATATTGGGATCAAGAGGTCCCAAATTGCTGTGGGCAAAGCACAACCAACCTCTGCCTCAAAGGTCTTTCTTTACAAAGGTGTTCACTCTATAATAATACTCTCTCAGCAGCTTCTATTCCCTCCATCAAAAACTTCCACAATATAAAGGCTGATGGCTTAAGAGCATGGCTGGACTCCAATCAAGAACGTCTCACAGTAAATACACTGACACAGAGGTGTGATGACCTTTCTGTTGTGAAATTATTGATGAGGGGCGACATGGTGAATCAGCCCGCTGTGCAACTGTGGATTATATTGTTGCATCAGTCCACTGTCCTTACTCTCAAAGCGAAAACCTAATGTTTCTTGAGAAGGGCGCTCTGTCAAAGGAAAAGAAAAAAAACAAGCAACTGCTGCTCTAAAGAATTTATATGTTCACCAGCTCCTTTCTGCACGCCAAAATACTCCATATTTCTTCTGATATACCTCTGGCCTCTCATTCATTTTAAACGTGAGAACTGACAATTGCATGCTTGCCCCCCGCGCAAATCCAATATCTGCTTTCATTCTGTGTTCTAGCATGATTATTAGCCGCTTGCTGTTCAGATATGTTGTAAAAGCATTGACTCTATGTTCCATTCCTACTCTTTCTAATCTATTCATTATTAATTTCTTCCTCTCTTTGCTCCACAAAATTCCAGAGAAAATTGTCTATCCCACAAAAATATTAAAGTTTTACAGAGAGTTTTACACATTCAATCACTGCGGTAAATGGATGAGAGAGGTAGGTGACTGCCTTTGCACCTGTCTCCGTGTCTCTTTTTGTTCTCTGACGGCCGATGCAGGGGGTGGATCGGGAGGGGATGTACCCACCCTCATTTATCCCACCTATGACTGACGGCTGTCTATCTATCAGGTGGTGGTCTCCAGCTCTGTTGCTGTCTACCACCCAGATTTCTCAAACGTTCACCATACACCTCTCACATATTTTTTTTCTTTCCCCTCTCTGTCATCATCCAGTCATGACATCTGGGATTATTCAGAGCATTATTCCATGTGTGCATGTTAGTTTCTCAGATTATCACACAGCAGTAAGCATTTCTGAGCCGCGCATGCCGCTGGTTTGTATGTCGTGTGTTGTGCTGCCGTCTCATAACATCGGCTTATCTATTATATCTGTGATCCTGTCATCCTCGGGGCAGAGCGGCACGTGGTGAGCTGGAAGAAGCTAAATCACAATGATGGCTATAATGACCAATGATGCTTAACAGAGGGAGACGTTTCTAACTGTGTCTGTCATTCCCTCGTGGCCAACAAATCAATGCCAGCCTGGCCTCAAAATGTCAGGCGACAGCCACCCCAAGGGTTTGAAAGACAGACCAAAGTGAGGTTATTTCCTGAATGGTTTTAGCAGAAAGCGGTTGTTTTAACCCGGATCGCAGCCATACGTCAGTGCTCTACCACAGACTGGAGGACGGGTGTTGAGTTACATTTAAGGAAACTGTTCTGAAAGGTGTGCTATGCACCTGAGAGGCCAAAGGGAGTGTGCATGAATTTGAAGTGAAGTGTTTCAATGTGCTCAGGGCAGATCTTATTCTCCTCTCTGCCAGTTTGTTTAGACAATACAGACGTTCTAATCTTTCTAATTAATTCTGTCTGATGCTGCGGTTTGACCAGATAATATCCACAAATCTAATCCAGGTCATTTGGGTCTGTCTCTAATTATTTATTGAGCCTCTACCCAGAAAATAGATCAGACTCTCAGAAAACCAGTTGATATGCAGAAGAGAGACAAAAAGAGACAGAGCCACAGAGCGATTCGTCAAAGATTTGTAAACACAGCCTGCTTGATTCTTGCCCTTACGGGACTTCTCTTAGTTTTGCTTTTAGATTTTTTGAAAGCTAATGAGCAGACAGCCAATTCAAATACTGATCACCTGATTTTAGCTTTGCAGATTCTTTCATCATTTAATTACAGCGACATTTATACAGAGGAACATCTTTTAAAACAGCTTTGAACAGGAAATGTGTTACTATTCTAAGATTCACTCAAGAAGCCATCAATCAACCTTTTGACAATTTCAAGTATTCTTTCTGATGTTAAAAAAACAGGGACACACAAAACCTCTCCTTTCAAGCTTTGAGCAAGAGGAGATGAACAAAATGACAGCAAAATATGGAAATTCATATTGGATCATCATTTGCTACAATGCCATATATTTGGTAAACAGCCTTTGTTTCTCTTGTGGTACACCAAACACAACTCTATGCTTACAGGGGGAAGTGTGATTAAATCTACCTGTTAACTTGTACAGTGCTTCCACTTGTTGAATTCTTCTTAAAATAATACTAAGTAGTGGAATATCACTGGCTTCAAGTGTAGGATATACTTAACATAACACCTACAAATCCCTGCAGAGATAGCCCTTACTATCTGATGCATCACTTAATTCAGGAACTGCTAACACCGCTTAGTTTTTGAACTCTATCCAGGTAGCCGATTGCAGCTGATTGCTGCTGTGCTCAGAAGTACTCTGGCACTGGAGGACTCAAATTAGGAGTTTTTGGGGGTGGAGACTTCGGTTGATTTAGGCTGCATTCAGGCTAGCTTTGGGCAAGTGTCTACCCATGGCATCGGCCCAAGTTCGGCTGATTTTGGCAGGGCACTCATCACAAATCTGGTTAAAGTCAAGCAACCAGTCGTGTCGGATTTAGCCCACTGTTGAGCCAATCCATTTAGGCAAAATAGATACCTTCCAACCGCTTTACACTTAACATACATCCTGAGCTGCATATTACGCCCAGGCATCTTGTTTTCCCTGCTGATGAATACCTGCTGTTCCTCTAATGTGTAAATTCATCTTTCACTACTTAATTTCGTTAACATTTGGCCAACGTGATTGTCAGTAGCAAGTGGAAAGCAAACAGCTGTGTTCTGTGTCAAAGTCCAACATTTTCCCATTCAATCACCTCTACCTCCTTTCTCTGTGGACTCTGTGGCTCTATACCGAGTCGCACTATGTCATAATTGTTACAGCCACTAGAGGGATTTGTCACTTATACATAAATAAATGTAATTTTGGGGAATTTGCTGAAATAACAGATGCTGTAATTGTTTCGGGGGGTAAGTCTGAAGTTAACAGCCCCAGTCATCATAATACGGTTTTTGCTGTGCTATGAATATTTCTCTCACATTTTCACTGTTTTTACACTACATTAATCTTTCTTGAATGGCATGTTGTACCAATCCACCTCATAAACATTTACATTTAGCAGGCAAACTAGAACATCAACAAATTCAACAGAATATTCCTGGGGCTAGTTTGTCTATCGACAGCTCCTTTTTTCCCAAACTCCATCAAAAAAACAGAAAAATCTGTAGAATTTCTGAATTGAAAAAAATGCTTTGCTACATCCATTTACTCCGAAATAAACCAATCCAAACAATGTTGTCAGAGAACTGAGGGAGAGTCTGCCTCAAGGAAAACCTCTCTAGCTTCTTTCTGCTTCACAAACTACAGCATCATAAAGCCATTGCAGCTTGGTCTCCACCGAGGTTGAGGGAGGCCATGACAAACATTTCAGAGAGAAGTCAATATCCTGCTGACATCAAAGAGGTGGTATGTACTGCCCTATTTCAATACTCACACAACCCCTTAAAACTATTTTTACTCCCTGCTTTCATATATCAACTAACCCTCTGAGTGAGAGCTCTAATGACCCCACATTGAGATGATGTGTGCCGTAAACATGGGTAATTTTCATTGAAGCTTTGCTGTAATTTGTGAGGTACTATTAATGATGCACCCTCAGGCTTCACGTTTGTTAGCACAAAATCAGCAACAATGAGCAGTACGTGCGTGTTTTAAGAAAGAGAGCGATTCTGCATTGCATTTAAATTTCGCTGGCTGAAATTCATTGACGATATGACTCAAACTTCTATTTTTACCATTAATGTGGACATTTCTTAACTTTATCTCCTCAGGACTTGTGAGCACTGTGCACCTATGGTACCCTGTCACATTGTGATGATGACATGCAATAGTGTTTTAGTAGTACACTCTACAGAGTCTCTGTCTGTATGCACTGGAGTCAACTGAGGTTAAGAGATGAGTTATTTAGTCTTATCTATAATCTATGATTGGTTGCCAACTTGTCAAAATCCACAGAAAACAGTTTGACAGTCCAACACATGTAAAACTTAAAATATACAGTACCCTGCTGTGGTTTGCAATGAGGGGGGCTGTTTTTATCTTTGCCACGTACCACATACAAACAATCTTTATCCTGGCACACAATACGTAGTTATTACTGGCTTTTTTTATTCAGAAGATAAAAGATAGATGAAAAAAAGATACAAGTTTAGCTTCATAAAACAAACATCCTGTTCTGTTTATATTTACAGCCTAAAGATGACGCTCTATCCTCCTGGATGTTAAACTCATCTGTCCACGCTTCCTTTTATTGTTCAATCTGAGCAGAAAGATGGATCTAAACAAACAAACTCTTTGCCCTTCTACATTTCCCAACTGTGAGAGAAGAGCTGCACGAGAAGAGAAATGTCAAAAAATGGTCGTATTTAAGTGTCCCATCAAGTACATCTATGAAAACGATGAGATTAGTCCTTTGACATATTAGTTTGCCTGTAAACTACAACAAGATAACCCTCTTAAAAAGGTACATTATGAAACATACATGAAATCAACTCCAAACATGCTCAGTTGACCAAGATTGGGGCTCAACATCTGCAGCAGTATGTGAAAACAAGCCAAGTGACTAAAGACAGACATCATAACAGCCATGTTACCTACTCACCCTCCTGGATACTGTGAAGCATGCTGTCAGCATTTTCTGTTGCCGTGGACAGGCACCAGACGCGGAGAGCGAAGATCAGAAAGGCAAAGTTCTTCCGCCGCCTCCAGGTTCTCATGATGCCCGGGCTCGGTGGGGGTGAAGCCGGGGAGGGGGAGAAAGCGCTCCGGTCAAACTGCGTTATTAATGCAGCACGACCAGACACTTCACACAGGGGACAGGATGGAGGATACAGGTCAAAGCAGTTCACGGAGGTGTGTAGTGGGGGTTAAAACGGGGGGTTAAGAGGCAAAAAAAAAGCTTCACCACCAAGAGTCCAAGATGCGGCAGGCTGTCATTTCAAAAAAGAAGCTGTCAAAAACTTTTCCTTCCTACCCCAGACGTTTGGCGGGCAACTGTCTGGGGGGAAAAACGTTCAAACACATGTGTTAGCTAAAGGGTTTTTGTGTGTGTGTGTGGAGGTGTTGGCCATGTGATAGGGTTATGACAAGGAGCGGTAGAAAAGCCAGAATGAGAGAGGGGATGTTGAGTAGTGAAGCGGACCTACCATCCCCTCTCGTACCGGAGCAGCCACACTTTGCCATGTGCGCCTCACACTCCGCTGGGTCCTAAAGCCGGACAGATGTTGACAAATCCAATTACCTAGTTGCCAAATCCAATCTTTTCCTCATTTGCCCACCTAATGCGTGTTAGTGCGACGGAATAGCTATTCCACATCGAAAGCTCAAGTCTACAGTACACCGAGAATCATTGAGGGTGTGTTATTATCTGCCCCCCTGCCACAGCTAGCAGAATAGAGCTAACGTTACTTGATATAATGTTACATTAACAGGGAAAGAAGACAACTGTCAGCTAACTGTAGTCAGCTAATAAAAAACAACAACAATGTAACACACGGTAAATAAATAAAAAATGTGTTGTGCAGAGAAAACGCTAGATTGTTTACAGTATTATTTATTTTTACCCTATGTGTTTGGGCTAGTAGGTTAGCCGGTTAGTATACTGCCAATGGAAATAACTTTATTGAAAGAAGGAAACAGGAACAGGAAATATTAAAACTACCGGAAGCAGAAAAGGAAACAAAAGGTATGCAAATCAGATAATATATACATTTAGTACTATAAATAATCTTAATCTATATTATTTAATTGTATATTAGGCGTTATTATTATATATATATATATTAATTTTCAACTTACAATTACATTATTGTATATAAGTATTGTGTATATATATGTATACACATTTATAAATAGATACTAAACAATCACAAAATATCTTAGCAGGAGAGATGTCTGCAAGGCTGTTTAAAAGATAAAATTACAGACATTTTGTAGTACAACACAAAACATGAAGGTGAAAATTCAGGTATTGTGTGATGCTGTGTTTTCCCAAGAAACACAATCATTTTAGTAAATAATGGATTTGAGTGTTGTTAGACTCCACATTAAAAAATAACACCATAAATTGTAGAGAGGGAACAAAACTTTATAACTTTTCCCGGAAGGTAAACTTTGTTTAAGTACACGTTATTGATAAACATTTGTTGTTGTTGTTGTTGTTGTTGTTATGTGGTAAAGTGTAAATGACTTGTATAGACCAGTCTTTTCTCCAGTCTTTTTCTTGTGCATGGAACACTATGGTTGTATAGTTGTGTAGAATGAAATCTATGAATGTACGCTGATGGGATTACAAGTTCACATTTAGACAAATGTTAAGCTTTTAAACCTGTTGATTCCCAGTTCCCACAGCATTCATTGTCATGAGTAAGGTTTGTAATGTTGCAATGAAATAAATGCACTTTATGATTCAATTTCAGTGTGAATATTATATATTTTAAATAGTATTCAGCGATGAAAATGGTGAGTCACCCCTGATTTTGCAATACCCCTGGGATGAGATCGTCTCTTCCTTTTCTCTATCTCTGTCCACACACACACACACA